TTCCACTTCCCAACGATTCCCGATTCTTTTTAGAGGCATGGCCAAAATATTATTCTTTTCCTAAAGTTAAGATAGGTTTTAAATCACTGCCACACATAATATATGCTGATTCTTTTTTGTTGGTTTTCGGCTGCTTGTTCTTTTGTTTGGCTGACCTGGTTTTAAAACTAGGAATGAAAATTTCAAATTTAAAATAATGTTGGGACAATCGTAAAGTTGGTCACAGTTCCAGTCGAGACTCGATGCCCAACCCTATCAAGGATGAGAACATCTTCATCTCTAAAAGAGTGACCACTTGCCTGTAGATGAGTGTAAACTGCAGAGTCCTGGTCTATAGATGAGTGTAGACTGCAGAGTCCTGGCCTGTAGATGTGTGTAAACTGCAGAGTCCTAGCTTGTAGATGAGTGTAAACTGCAGAGTNACTGCAGAGTCCTGGTCTGTAGATGAGTGTAAACTGTACAGTCTTGGCCTGTAAATGAGCGTAAACTTTAGATGAGTGTAAACTGCAGAATATTGGCCTGATGATGTTGCTCATCTGTGCTGGGCCATCCTTTTGAACAGTGACTGCTTTGTTTCCCTGATATATAACTGSTTACAGTCCGCCTGGCCCCCTAACGGCTCTTAAGTCATTTAGATTTAAAGATAAAACCTCATCATGAGTTGATCTGAGACGCACCTCAGAAAAGGGGTGGGGCTTGTAGAGTTACAATGACGAGTTCAAACCAAAGCACTGCAGTTCGACTTTATAAAGACTCTAGCTGAATGATTTAAATGTGAAAAACGATTTAATGTTTCCTTTCATTTTGTTGTCATGTATCAAATAATTGTATTTTATAAACAAATCTGCTCATCTTGTTCATGAGAGATTTGTGGATTCAGCAGTTTTGTTTCCTGAGGAATGAAGCTGCTTCATATCCTGGTTGGTCATGATTTGAGATGCCAGGTCTGACAGAGGTCAGTCTTATCCAACGCTGGTCGTTGTTCTGTACGGGTCAGACAATATGAGGCACATTAGCAGCTATAAATTGTTYCTGCTGATTGTGGCAGTTGGTCACAGAGGAAACCAACTCTGAGCTAAATGAAGCTGAGGCAGCATTATCTAATTAAAAAAAAAAAATACTAATTAAGAAATGCACTGTAAGAGCTTTTTAGGCTTCAACCAAACTTCTCTGCTGTGCTCTGAAGTTATCCTGACCTGAAACCAGAAGTATCTCAGTGTCTGTGCCAAAACCTAAACAACAGAAACTGTTTTTCTTGTTTGATATGAAGCCCGGGATCACAGTCTGCTCTGGTGTTAACAGAACATGAGACAAAGCTTCAGCAAAACATCGTTGGCAGGTTGTTGTTTTTTCCTGACCTTTAGGCCATGTTGGATCTTCTCTGTTTGTTCAGATGAGGATGGCTGGTGTTTGATGACCAGGGCTCTGTGCTTGAAAATGAAWTTCTATCCTCTGCTGCCCCTTTGCTGCTACAGCAAACCAGACAGAGCGTTCTGATATCGTATGGAAATCAGCCCGGCTGTTTTTCACGTGATCTGTCTTTTCAGAGCCAGGCAGRCAGAGGAGAAAAAAAAGATAAGCCGACATCCAAGTCTGTTTTTTTTCCCCTGCCGTTGAACACATCTACTGCTGAGAGTGTTCACTACCTCTCATCTTCACTCTTGTTTAGTRCACTTATATGTCTTCTCAGGAACGTTTGTGTTTCCTCTGATGTTTGTAACGTCTTTTTCTCTGCCACCCAGAGTCAGGCCATGCGTATCGTCCGGACCGTCGGTCAGGCCTTCGAGGTTTGTCACAAACTGAGTCTGCAGCACACCAAGCAAAACGCCGGACAGGAGGACTGCAAGGGTGAAAAGAACAGCGATGACCTGTCTGTTGGAGGTACACAACAAACACGCTGTATATCATGCATCCTGATTACAGCACTGGCTATAAACGTTCAATGCAACTGCTTTACCTTTTTGATRTTCTGCCCTGGTGTGATCACCGGTCCTTCCCAGCTGCGCTGGGACACTCAGACCTACTGCCTACTAATTAATTAATTAGCATTTGGCATGATTCAGTTGTAGGTTCTGCAAATATCTGAATAAGTTGAACTGAATGTATATGTTGTCAAATAACAGGTTGTTTTCACAATGCAGTGCATCGAAATCGAGAAATGCAGATAGATGGCAAGAAGTGTTGTTTGCACAGCAGGGGCGGAGCTAGACATTTCTTTGCTAGAGGTGTATTTTTTGGGGGGAACATAAAAATAAAAAACATAGTATGGATTTAAAAYATCACGACAGTCGCAGTTCATTTYAAATATCCAATTTCCCTCTGGGATCAATAAAGTATTTTTGCATTGAAWWGAAATGGYTYGAAACCAGCTGTTTTAAGAACTATTGTTTAGAAATTTGATGTGATCGTCGCTGAGAAAGATTTAAAAAAACATGCTAAATACTAGCCCCAATTTAAGCTAATCGCTAAAGCAAATTTTACAAAGAGCTATAATTCAACTATTTTTAGACAAAGCTGAAAATTCAAATACACAATCAAAGATGGCTACCAAAGCTAATTTTAATGGTTACAATGTGTCATGGTGGTAGCCAAGAGCAATCCACATGACGTTCTGAAAACTTATTTCAATTTTAAGCTAATGCTAATTTGAGAAAGATATATATTTAATTAAATTTTGGACACATAAATCTGATAATTGGTATAATAGTAGCAAACAGCATTCTTCAACAAATTCTGAATTCAAATCAAAAATCYAAGATGGCCACCACGGCTAATTTAAAATRTCTAAAACTCAAACATTATTAGAGATGCTGAGCTGAAACATAGTGCAGGGGTAGCTGAGGCCCAACAGACTCTGAAATCAAAACGAGAAAAGGAAATCCAAGATGGCCACGGAATCATTTGGGGGTGGCACCTGGGGGGGGGCTAATCAGGTGTCAGGGATGACACTTGCCACTCTGACTCCACCCCTGGTTTATGGCTGCTCCAATCGCTCAGCCAAGGAAAAATTAATATTATAATACACCAAAGATTGATATACACAAATGTGAAGAATATAGAAAGCTCAAACCATGCGATAAAAGTACATTTTAAACCAACCCCTGCGGTCGGAAGGAGCCGAATCTGCAGCAACCTCTTTGTCAAAGATATGCTAGCTGGCTAGCTTGTTCTTTTGTGGGGTGGTACTGGTAGTTAAGTATGGACTTCTTCTGGACTTTTTAAGCTGCGCTAGGACTACATGTCATTAGGTGTTGCATGTTTGTTGATGTTAGCTGCTACTGCTAGCATCTTAACATATAAAACAAWATAAGRACAAATACTCACCCTGGAGAAGACCAGATGATAATGATTGTGGAGCTGTTTGGTACTGAGGATGTGACAAAAAGTTATACGCCTCCAGACCTTGATAGGCTTTTATTCTGTTTGATGCAGTGAGACGTCTAAAGGACCAGATAGTTTGTGACTCAACGGCTTTGATTGTTGGTAAATCTTTAGGTTTTGTTGAAAACTCATTCATCTTTGAGACAYGGGTCATGTCTGATGTATTCAGCATCGTATCTGTACAATACGGACTCACTACAATAGTTTCCTCCATAGATGTTTTACTTGCTGCCCTCCATTTGAAATCCTGTGTCATCAAACTCACGTGCCTGAAACCCATTTCCAGGAGTTGTCAAGTTTAATAAATTTGGATGTTATAACTTGTCTTGAGGAAGGTTTGAAGAAAACCTCTCAACTTGATCAAACCTTTGATAATGACTTCATTCATGACTGGGTCAAATATGTCATTTAAACTTTATTTTTGGGGGGAAATCGGGTTGTAATCTGCTCACAAAGACTGTAACGGGTCTTCCCTGCAGGGCAGAGACACGTGGTTCTGAATGAAGGCTGAGAGGATCGACGAGAGCATTCAGAAAAGATAGAAGTGTCCACAAGTGGACATCTTTGACACGATTGTTCCAGTTATTGTTGCAGCCAGAGCTGGTGCTGGAACATGGTTTTTCCAAAGCTTTTCCAGGAGTGAGCCCAGAGATCACCCTCACCGTTTGATTGTAGATTGTTAGAGGACTACACATGCATACAGAGAGAGGCCTTCACACAGTCACTGTTGTGGTTTGTTGAATAACACAAGAGCTGTCACCCACAGCCAAGGAGCTTATCTGGAGGACTAATTATTGTTGCAATGAAAGGATGGGAGAAAGAAAAGCTGGGAGATTCTGGATTAGAAGACTGGTGTGTGAAAGCAGAGCAAGAGGAGAAAAAGAAATGCATTTTAGAAAGAAAGGAAACTTGGTGTAAGGAAAAAGAATAAGAGATGAAGCTGATTAAAGATGAAGAAAAGGAATGGAGAGCTGCAGCGAGCAGCGGGGGTGGGAGAAAGTTGTGCCGCCAAATGTTTTTGCTACAGTTGATTTGTGTTCAGCAATTATTCAAGAGAACATCGGGATCAAAAAGGGAGAGTAACCTTTGTAGAATATAAACCTGAACAGAAACTAGAAAACARAGAAGGTAAGGTTTGGAGTAGTAAAACTTAATTAACAAAATGTGCAGATAGGAGGTTTCAGTCAGCACATCAGTTAGCACAGAGCTGAACAGCCTGCAGGATATGTGCTTACAGATTTCATTTAAAGAACTTGGACTCCATCAGACTAAAGGATTTATTCAATTTAATTTTGATTGCAAAGGAGTTATACCAGTTTTCCAGACTTTAAACTTGTTTTAGTAAATACTTGATGAAAGTATTTACTAAAACATGAACTTTTAGAGAAACTCCAATTCAAGTTGACCACTACAGCTAACTAACCTTAGAAAACAAAAACATTTCTATAACTCAGTCAGTTTTTCAGATTCTGAGCTAAACTTGGGTGTTGTAGTTTGTAGACTGTGACATTTTGTAATAACGCATAAGATGCCACATAACGTTATTTTAACATTTGAACAAAATGGCCAAATAGGGGTCTCTGCAGTAGAGGGGCTTTCTTGGCTGTGTGGGCGGAGTTTGTCCTAAGCATGATTGGCAGAGTTTTGTTTTTTTTAAGTTTCGGCTGAGTTTGGCAAAAGGGGGAAATTTCTTGTCTGTGAGGGTGGAGTTTATCTAAACTATGGTTAGCAGAGTTCTTTGGTGTGAGTGGAGTTTTGCAAAATGGAGTTGTTTTTTTTGGCTGTGTGGGCGGAGTTTGTCCTAATCGTGATTGAGCAAGTTTTTCAGTTTGGGTGGCATTTGGCAAAACGGGGGAGTTTCTCGTCTGTGTGGGCGGAGTTTGTCCTAATCGTGATTGGCAGAGGATTTTTTTAGTTTGGGCGGAGTTTGGCAAAATAGGGGAGTTTCTTGTCTATGTGGGCGGAGTTAGTCTTAAATGTGATTGTCACTTTTTCAGTTTGGTTGGAGTTTGTCCTAATCGTGATTGGCAGAGGTTTTTTTAGTTTGGGCGGAGTTTGGCAAAACAGGAGTTTCTTGTCTGTGTGGGCGGAGTTAGTCTTAAATGTGATTGTCAGTTTTTCAGTTTGGTTGGAGTTTGTCCTAATCGTGATTGGCAGAGGTTTTTTGGTGTAGGTAGAGTTTGGCAAAATGGAGGAGTTTATTGTCTGTGTGGGCGGAGTTTACCCTAACCATGATAGGCTACGTTCACACTGCAGGCAAATCTGACCCAAATCCGATTTTTTTGACCCATCTGACTCATATC